GGTGGGATGGTGCTTGGAGCCACCTGGGTTAGTGGAAGATGCTGCCATGGCAGGGGGTTGAATCTAGTTGATGTTCAAGATTCTTTCCACCCCAAAGCATTCTAGGATTGTATGAAAATGCAGAAAATCTGCAAATGTGGGAGATGGGATGGACTGAAACACCAGTGGCAAAGCAGCACATGGAGATTTACAGCCATTTTCTATGGAAGGAAAAGAAAAGGTCTAAAGCACAGGAGAGAAATCTCCAGAATAAATGCACACCAGAGAGTCAGGTCACAGCTGGGAGTAAGAAATGGGCTGTCTCCTGCATGATGAACACTGCAATTCATTTACTCCACTGAGGAGTGACAGCTAATTATTCCAAATTTCCACGTCATAAATAATTGACGCACACAGGCCTGGAATGTGCCATCAATCAGGGAGCACAGACTGCAGTCCTGAGAGTGATGCTGTACCCACACATGGACTGAAATGTCTGTGCTTCAACTGGAAGGTCTGGTACCTGCCTAAACAACAGGGTATCAGGAGAAGGTTCTTCCCCCAGAGGTGTTTGGGCACTGAACAGCTCCCCAGGGCAGTGGTCACAGCCCCAAGGCTGACAGAGCTCCAGGAGTGTTTGGACAACACTCTCAGGCACATGTTTTGATTCTCTGGGATGTCCTGTGCAGAGTCTGGAGTTGAACTAGATGATCCTCAAGCAGATCACTAAGTTTCTAGTGCCTCAGCCCTCCCATAGTAACTAAAAATCATGGATAGCCCCTACCCACTTCCCTCCATCACCTTCATCCGTTCCCTTCAACTGTCCTCAACCTTCACATCATTCCTTCTCTCCTTTTTCAGCCACAAAGGTCATCTCTCCAATTTTCCCCAGTGCTGCATCAACTCCATCATTGCCAAAGTCATCACCTTTTAGTCATCCTCAGTTTATCTTTCTAACTGCAGCTGCTCACCTCTAAAGCACAGACACCCCCAGCTCCTGCACTGACTCATGAGCTCCATGAATTACCTACAAAGAATCCTAAAACTCTCCATGGTGGCTCATGAGTGAGTTTCTCTGCACAATCTCACCCAGCTTAAATTCCCTTTGGGCTTCACACCCCACACCAACACTGCTGCTAAAAGCACCACAGCCACTACATTCTGCCTTGTTCAGAACTCTAAAACTTTCCAAGTGAAGGGCTTAAAGCCAGGATTTGACATTTGAGCTACAGGTCAGGCTCTGGCTAACACCAACATAAGGAAGCTGTGCCTGTAAATCCCTTCATTGGACTAGGTAAGTCAAGTGACTTCATGTCAGAATTCTCTGTCTTCACTGAGACACGAAGAGATAAGGTAGAAATGGAATACAAGAGTGAAGAAATCAACCAAAATTTCTTTCCACAGCTCACGAAGTGTTTAGCCAATGCTCTCAGGTACAGGGTGGGATTATTGGAGTTGTCCTGTGCAGGGCAAGAGTTGGACTTGGATGACTCTAGTGGGTTCCTTCCAAGTCAGGATATTCCATGATTCTATGAAAACATGAAGCTTTGATTTGGGAATGAAGGAGAAAGCTGTGCAGAGGTTTGGGGTGGCACAGCCAACACTTCAGAGCAGCATGAAGCAACAGAGCCCAAACACACGTTGATGTTACTCTGACTCTGTAGGGACTGTGAACCAGCCAGAGAAGAGTTAAAGAATTAAGTCCTGTTTCCTTGGGAGGCTCCATTAAGCAATACAAGTGAGTCTTGTGTAAAAGGGTTTGAAGTTCAGCATTACAAGTGCTGGTAATGAAGAGGATGCAAGCTGGAAATGTCAGCTGAGCCATAAAGCACCGCGGCGGCGAGATCCATCGCCCTGGTGCTGCTCCGTCACTCCACCTGAATAATGAGTGCTTTTTACAGTCACATTTGTGTACAAAACCCATTGGCACACTAGAGAAATAACTCTGAGAGCAGGGATGGATTCTTTCTAATCTCTCACCCAGGTTCCCTGCACTAAAGAGCAGCTCTGTTAACGAATCCATCAGCACTGTAACCCATGTATCACTGCTCGGGCACCTTCCCCGGCCCACACTGTGTCACCCAGCTGACTTGTGTACCAAAAAAAAAGCAGCAAAAGCACAATTTATTTTGCAATAACACACTATAGTGATGGAGCATTAACTAACATTAAGATTAATTGCTCTGAGCTAATGAATCGTCCATTACTAATCCCTCGGATGAGGCCACGGAGCTAAGTAAGGACTTGTAGCTGGACTTGGGTTAAAAATCTTTGCAGCCTTGCCTTGCAGTCAGGGTCACAGAAATGTTTATTCATTTCTATAAGAGGTTTGTGGAGAGGAAAGGAGAAATATTGTACAGAAAGATGAATCACATCAGAGATGAGTAAGTCAGCAATCAGCTCCTCTCTAGTCACCAGGTCCCTCTGCACTCCCACTGTGCAGTACTTGGGGTAAATGAAGCTTTCAGGCTTGCAGGTGGAGAAAGGTCCTAGGCTCTGCCCAGGGTACAAGCACATTCCCAAAGAGTAAAAGCACACCTGGAAACCACAACTTGTTTGTGTGTCAAAGCACTGAGCAGTGCTCAGCAGACATCAAACAGCACAGCTTTGCAGAGCTTGTGTTGGAAAGAAGAGTGAGATCACCTCCAACCTCAGCTGCTTTATGATCCACACAATGATTTTCTGTCTAGTTAAAGCTTTTTCCTTTAGCTCTTGTTCCCAAACACTCTCCACAGGTAAAAGACACTCACCAGTTTCCATCTCTGCTCCGGAATGGCGCTGATATCCACAGGATGACGCTCTATTACGCTGAGGAAACGAACCTCAGGGACAGCAATAGCACAGATTACATGGACCCACCTGGAGAGCAAAGCCAAGAGACAACTCAGAGCCTGCCATGACTCCAATTCAATGCTCATGAGGGCACTTAACATTTCCCTGTCTCCCTCAGCAGTGAGGTGTAGTTACTGGGGTTGGTGGTGTTGGTAACGTTAGTGACTGAGTGTTCATCACAGTCACACGAGGTGAATGTCTCTGCAACAACAAGGATCAACTTCTTGTGCTAAACTTTTCTCTGAGAAAGAACCACGTTCTGAAAAGTGTTCAGAATCTCTTCCATGGGGCAGCCTCGTGCAGTGTGAGCCACACACAGGCTCACCCTGCCAAGTGAGTGAGGAGGAAAAACCTCCACAACACCAAAACTTGCTCCTGCACTGAGCATTAAGATAAGATTCACAGCAGAAAAAGAGATTATATACAGTATGGAAGGAAAAAAAGACTAAAGCCCATCACTCACCGCCCATCAGTGGTCATCTGAAGAGCTCCTCCCCTGAGATTGCACAGGCAACATTCCTGCAGGAACACAACTCCTTCAGAACTGGACCAGGAAAAGCTCTGCTAGGCTGCACATCTTCCCCCCAAAATGACTTCACCACATCTGGGACCCAAAGGCAAACTGAACCCATCCCACCACCCACATTTGTTGAGGTGGATGAATTCATTCCCACAGTAGAATCAGGGAATATCTTGAGCTGGAAGGGACTCACAGGGATCAAATCCAACTCCCAACTGTGCCCACAACACCCCAACAATTCACCCTGTGCCTGAGAGCATTGGGCAAACACTCCTGGAGCTCTGTCAGCCTTGGGGCTGTGACCACTGCCCTGGGGAGCTGTTCAGTGCCCAAACACCTCTGGGGGAAGAACCTTGTGCTGATCTCCAACCTAACCCTGATCCAGTGCCCAAACACCTCTGGGGGAAGAACCTTGTGCTGATATCCAACCTAACCCTGTTCCAGTGCCCAAACACTCTCGGGGGGGAAGAATCTTGTCCTAATATCCATCCCAAACCTCCCCTGACACAGCTCCAGTCATTCCCTCAAGTCCTGTCCCTGGTCCCAGAGCTCAGAGCTGTCCCTCTGCCTCCTCCTGGGAGGAGCTGCAGATCCCAAGGAGTGTCCCCTCAGTCTCCTCTGCTCCAGCTGACCCAGCCAAGTGCCCTCAGCTGCTCCTGGCATGGCCCTTCAGACCCTTGCCCACTCTCCTGGGGGTTTATTCTCCCAAGGGAAACACTCACCGCTGCCCACGCGTTGGCTGAGCACCGTGAGCACGACCAGCTCTCGTTCACCAGGTCTGGATGTACTCCATAACAGCCTGAAAGAAACAAAGTTATGTCCATATTACAGCAGAGGTTTGTCATCTGTAGAGGTTTGCCATATCTGTAGCATTTTTGTTGACTTTTCAGTTCCATTTCTGAAAGCAGGTGGAGCATTTGAGTAACTATACTCAATAGCCTCAAACAAGTCTAAGGGAGCAGAATTTGGGACCAGCAGGTCTAAAACCAAACAAAACACACACACAGGTAACCCTCAATGTATTTTTTCCTCTTTCCTACAGACTACAAGATCAGGATTTGATCCTTCAGGCAGGATCTGGACTCCAGAGTGATGCTACCACTGCTGGAATGCACTCACACATCAGTAATGTCACAGAATTTTGGCATGATTGAAGCAATTCTCTTTGCTACATGGTGTGATGAAAGAACCAACCCAATAATACTGCAAGAAAATGAAATAACACCTGCATTTCCCATATTTTACAGTTTTTTAAACTAATTTCTGGTTATATGAAGTGTTGGAAACATCTGATTTTAAACAGCAGCAACTACTGTCATATGCAAGCACCAAATCCTCCTACACACTTCTTGCAAGAACCAAAATAGTAAAGTGGTATTATAGCCATTATCAAGACAAGGAAATGAGCCACAAAAAGTCCTTAGAATTCTATAAAAGGCATTGAGGTTTGTCACTGAAAACAATAGAGGAAAAGACACAGAAAATAGCTGTGAAAAAGTAGATCTATGATTCCTGCAATCTTGTGAGTGGAATATTAAACACAAACATTCCAACTAACACACAGCTCATCTCATGGCCTTTCCCTATCCTAACAAAATCCCATCCTTTACCTATCCTAACAACAAAACTGAGGAGAAAATTTCAGCTGGGAACAACAGTCTTCAAGGATTGAATGAAGCTTACATGAAGTTATCCAGAAAGGCCTAAGATTGCCACCACAACCTGAGTTATAAATATCATCCACTTAACCAGATAAACAGCACGTCAAAAAAAAGTCAATACTATGGATCTGCAGCTGTTCTCCACATCTGAGGTCTCTTTTTATCATATGGCAAATCAGCAAAGTAGATTCCACCCAGGCCTAGGAAACAGGCAAGTGTGGCAGGCTAAAACCTCATCTGAGAGAGAAACAGCCACCTTGAGCTAAAATCCTGCTGGGAACAGGCTGGAAATTGAGCACTGATTTCTTGCTCCAGGCCCACAGGCAGATGGGCCATGGGATCTGAGTTTGCCTGGATAAAAGGAGGGTCAGGGGAGACCTTACAACTCTCCCTGCCAGGAGGTGCAGCCAAGTGGGTTCAGGCTCTGCTCCCAGGGAATGAGCACGAGGACAAGAGAAGACAGGCTCAAGTTGTGCCAGGGGAGGTTTAGATTGGACATTAGGAGCAATTCCTTCCCCAAAAAGGGTTGTAAAGCTGTGGTGGAGTCACCATCTCTGGAAATGTTCAGAGAATATGTGGATGTGGCACATGGAGCCATAGTTTAGTGGTGAACATGGTGGTGCTAAGTTGACATTTAGACTTGATGATCTCAAAAGTCTTTTCCAACCTTAACAATTGTGTGATTCTATGAGGGGAGAAAGTCATGTTTACTGCCCCCCAGATCATCCCATCAGGATGATCCTAGCAGAGCAAGAGAAATATGTTATGTTTAGGGATTTTGCCAATGCCTCAAAAGCCCAGAAACCTCCACAAACCCTCTCTGTGTGTCCTTGCTGCTGCCCCAACTCAGCACAGGCTGTGAGGGCACTTCTCAAGAACACACTGCAGGCTGCAGACTGCTTTTACTGCCAGATTAGCCATAACACACCTCAACTCTGCAACCCTGTCATAAAAGCAAATGGATTCTCTGCAGCAAAGTCAAAGGGATGTCACAGACTAGAGGCACAAACAGCAACAAGGAAACAACAAGGCACTGGAGACTACATCAGATTTAAAGTCTGTCCTATCCTCAAGGGTAGAGCACAGCCAAAAGAGAAAGGTGAATTTCATTGCACTCTGAGCCTGCAGATTAACAGCATCTTGCACACATCCCTCTGTTCCTAAAGGGAATTTGGCCACTGAAACTGTTTTGATAGACTATTGCAGAGCTATGGATGGACAAGATGTAGCATCTCTGATCTCTCCAGAGAGCACAGTTTGGGATGGAAGGAATCACTCTTCATCCTCACACTGCATCCCATGCTCTCAATTAGCCAGAAATGACCATAATCAGGGATCCAGCCCAGAGACAGAAGTTCCCCTTCTAGCTCTCCACCAGAGCCAGCCCTGCTGAGCTGCACAGGGACCTGCAGGCTCTAAAATTGGAACAACAAATGTAATTCCAGCTGATGCAAGTCAAATAAGATTCCCCATCTGTCAAGATCAAACAGCTGAACAGTAATTCATCCCATCTCCTCGTACGAGCCCAAATGTTAACTGGATGTGGTACAATCTCCATTGAAGGTACAACTCCACCAGGATTAATCACATCTTCTTTTAGCCATAACTATCAAGGAAGCAAACAGACATATGTTCCCTTTTGTAATCAAGTGCCATTACCACAAACAGCATCACAGACACTAATAAAAGATATCTCCAGCTCCTCCATAATCTCTGATGCACGAAGGAACAATATAGCCTCACCCAGCAGAGCAATACTGGCATGAAAAAGCTGAGAGAAAAGAGTCTCATCAGCTCTGGGAGTGCTGCTTTATTACAAAAAATCCAAGATATCAAAAGAGAGAATCTTTTCTGTGAGACAGAGAAGAATCAGCCAACAAAACAAACAGTAAAAGGAACATTGTTGTGTAATTTGAAGAGCACTGACTGCTCAAGATGGACTTGGATATAAGGATTTACCTTGCAGTGGAAGGTGTCCCTGCCCAAGGGCTGATGACCACAGGATCAGTGAGGTTGGAAGGGACCACAGTGGGTCATCTGTTCCAACCTCCCTGCTCAAGCAGAGCCATCCTAGAGCACATGGCTCAGGGCTCTGTCCAGATGGTTCTGGATTATCTCCAGTGAGGAAGAATCCACAACCTCTTTGGGCAACCTGTTCAGTGCTCAAGGACTGCACAGCAAAGAAGTTCTTCCTCACATTCAGGAGGAACTTTTTATGTATCAGGTTTTGCCCATTACCTCTTGTTTTATTAGTTTTCCCCACTGAGAGGAGTTTAGCTCCATCCTCTCGGCACCTCCTGTTCATGTACTGGAATCATAGAATTTTAGGGGTTGGAATGGAGCTTAGATATCATCTAGCCTCAACCCCCTGCCCTGGGCAGGGACATCTCCCACCAGAGCAGGTTGCTCAAAGCTTCATCCAACCTTTGCACACTGCCAGGGTTGGGGCAGCAACGGCTTCCCTGGGCAACCTGGGCCAGTGTCATGAGGTCCCTCTCAGTTGTCTCTTCTTGAGACTGAACAGGCCCAACTCCCTCAGCCTTTCCTCATCACTGAGGTATTCCAAGTCCCTTCATCATCTTTGTTACCCTCCACTGGACCTGCTCCAGGAGCTCCATGTTCCTCTGGTGCTGAGGAGCCCAGAATTGGACACAACAATAATGATGATTTTTAAGATCCCTTTAGATGATCTTTAAGGTCCTTCCAACCCAAACCATTCTGGGATTCCATGATATATTTGTGCCAGAACAGGAGAACAGGGGAGTGACAGGTATAGCAAGTCTGCCATGAAGGAATACAAATACCAGAACAGGAGAACATGGAAGTGACAGGTACAGCAAGTCTGCCATGAAGGAATACAAATACAGGCAACACACAATGACACTCATGAGGTTCTCAGCACCCAAAAGGCTTTGGTGAAGGAGGAAACACTCACTAGCATGAACCTGCAGGCAGCATTTGGCACAGGATACCAAGGGACTGGTTCCATCTTCTCCAATATAGGAATTAGAAGGAAGGGGCTCTGTGTTTTCCCCACTTGAGGTAAAGCACATCTCTGGGATCAGGGGCTTGGTCTTCTGTCCACACTTGGAGAGGTGGACAAAGGAGGATGGCTCCCCTGCAGAGACTGGGACAGCTTCTTTATCCATCTGTAAGGACTTAAAGAGAACATATCATCAACATGGAATCACCTCTTCCCTGCTCACAGGTTTAACCTTCAGGTCTGAGCCTCTCCCCTTGCAAAAACTCCATCCAACATCTGCCACGAGACAGGCAAAGAATGAGCTTTAAATCCTGGTTCCCACCCTGCCTTGCTCTTCTCCCTCTTCCTTAGGCCTCCACTGGGACCTGTAATTTCTTTTAAAAGCTCAGAGAAGCAGGAGAATAATGAGCAACGTTTCCTGGGTTTCTGCTGTAAAAAAAAAATTCTCAATTCCTAAATTTCAGCTGAAAACACCAAGGAAAAATAAAAAGGAAAACATTACTAAAAGCAAGACCTTCCCTCCCCCTCTCCCATCCCTGTAGCATCCTTCCTGCAAGGATTTCTCCAGAAGGACATTCCAAGGTTTCTGGTAGCAGAGAGAGTTAAACCCAATGGATTAAACCAGCCCAGCTGCACCTAGTTTCCCTCACAGCCATTACACAACATCCAGCAATCATTTTATTTTCAGTCCCTGCAATGAATCAAGAGATTTTCTTGAAGGGGGAGGTGGGCTCTGCTTTCCTCAGAAAAAGCTTCCAACACACATATACATCCAAGGTACATATTCCTGGTGGACACACCAAGTCAGATTTGCCTTTATGTGAGAACAAATCAATACACAACTGAGCAAAGAACTAATTCAGCTGATGAATTTTGCTTTTCTGTTCAAAACATCTCCCAGAGCATATTGGTAGTTTCCAAAAGGAAAAAAAAAAAAAAAAAAAAAAAAAAAAAAAAAGATGATGATGGATGTGCTTACTCAGGAAATTTTAAGTTTGTTGCTTGTTTGCATATATTCAGCAGTTTGGGCCTGTGTTGAAACACAAGTGATCATGTGCCTGATGTGGCAAATGTTCTCTGCATCAAAGAGTGTTTGCAAAGCTCTTGAAGTGTGATTTAAAAAATGAACACTGAGATGAGCCAGAGAAGCCAGGGAAGATAACAAAAAAAACAAAGCTCCATCCACTCTGTGTCAAACCCAAACCCATTTCTCTGGATGTGTTCAAAGCACATGTGGATGTGGCACTTGGGGATATGATTTAGTGGTGAACATGGTGGTGGTGCTGGGACTGATCTTGGAGGTGTTTTCCAACCAGGATTGAGGGATTACCTGGTTATAGGGGTAGAAGAGAGTGCAGACAGCACAGTATGGCTCACTCAGGGCAGCAGCTGCATTGAATTTCCTTTCAGCTGGGAAATTATGTGCTTTATTCTTCCACTGGAAGGAAAGTAAAGATTTCAAAGCCTCTGGATCACTCATATCTTCCTCTCCAGAAAATGGAAATGTTTCTAGAAAGAAAAAAGAAAAAACCCAAAACATTGGTCAGTCAGTAGAGGGGAAAGAGGTTAGAGAGAAGAGGCAAAATGCAGCAGGGCAGAGTCAAACTGCTCAAGTTGTGACAACACAAGGAGTGCAATAAATAAGAACATTCAGCTCATCCATGGGTCCTCATAGGCTTATTCTTCAAATACTTCCTAAACAGATACAATCCCTACGTTTTATGTAGGATAGACAAGACACCAATGACCTAAGGGAAATGGCCATGAGGAAGGAGAGTGAAGAGAATCTGGATTTAGTGCCTTGATAACCCTCTGCACTTTCTAGCTGTGCAAACCTTCAGCATCTGTTACTGAAGCCAAGTTCAAAGTGCATGATGGAAGTGTAAGGAAATCCTCCTTTCCTCTCTCCAACTGGGAGCTGCATTCCCTGGAAGATGTGGATGCAGTCAGTGCTGGTTTGGTCAGGCAGCTCCCAGTTCCCAAGGCTGATCCAACCTTCCCAAGGTGCATTCTGTGCCTGTTGTGCACACACAAATCTTGGCTGTAAGATATCCTGGTTCCAGGAGAGGCTGAGGGAGCTGGGATTGTTCAGCCTGGAGGAGGCTCAGGGGAGCCCTCATCACTCTCCACAACTCCCTGCCAGGAGGTTGGAGTCAGGTGGGGGTTGGTCTCTTCTCCCAGGCAACCAGCAGCCGGACAAGAGGGCACAGACTCCAGCTCTGCCAGGGGAGGGGTAGGTTGGATCTTAGGAAGAGGTTTTGTACAGAGAGCGTGCTCAGGCATTGGAATGGGCTGCCCAGGGAGGTGGTGGATTCACCATCCCTGGACGTCTTTAGGTTGAGACTGGATGTGGCACTTTGTGCCATGGTCTAGTGACCACAGTAGGGTTGGACTTGATGATCTTGGAGGTCTTTTCCAACCTGGTTGACTCTATGATTCTGAGTGCTCATTTTACAGCCATTCCATCGAGCACACCCCACTGAGCTTCTATTTGCATTCCCACCACCTCTCCCTCTGCCAGAGCTCTACCAGGTACTGCTCCTGCTAATTAGTTTGCTAATTCCTTCTTCTTACAAACCTTTAAAAGGCCTTGAGCATTCTGTGATTAAACTACTGCAGAATCCATTGGTGGCAGTTTGGGGGGGGGGCCAAGTTTCTTACCTTTCCTTATGAAGGAATTTGGAGTCACTACAAGTGTTAAAAGAAATTTTCCACACAAGACTAAGTGTAAATCACTCTCTGCATCACCAAGCTGCAAAGTTTCCAAAGGAACAGAGAACTCTTAACATCTTGGTCGACCATTATCCCCTGAGCTCAGCACATTAAACCAAATTGTTCATTGCTTCACTGTTAATTACTGGAAATAAGCAGTTAATGTTCTGCTCTACAAGTCTTAAGTCTCTTGCCCAATTCTATCTCTCTTTGAAGATTTTCTGACTCTTGAGTTACCCAAAAGGGCAAAAGGAATCTGGAGTCAAATATCAGTGGCCAAGTTCACATCTCAGATTTTAAACTTTACCCCAGCTAATTAACATGTCATTTGCCAGACAAGGTGGAAATTGTATTGTGTTCAACTGATCAATCCATTTTGTCTGTGTGGCTCTGTCATATTCCAAATGAGGGTTAATTCCCAACAAGTGTCATGACATGAGGCAAAAACCAAACCATGATTCTCCAACTTTTAGTCTCCCAACAGGAGACAACAAGGATTTATGGCACCAGTGAGATCAGCATCCTACCCCAGAGTGCCAGAGGAGGAGAAAAGGCAATGAGTGTTGTATGTCATCACCTTCACTGCTCCAGGATGGATCTCAGGGGACACATAGGACTCAGGATAGCTCCTCCATTGCAAGCAAGTAGAAGAGACTATTTGTCTGGACAGAGTCTTAGTGCTGCACATGTATTCCCTTCATTTACATGCTCACTCTCCCTCCTGCAGCCTCCAGATCATCCTTGTACATCATTCCCTGAAATGCAGAGAGCTGCCTCTATTCCCTGGTGGGAAGGGAAGAATCTGTTTGATCAGGTTTGGCCCAGCAATGCTGTAAATCAGCCCCTGGGAAATGCCAGTTTTCACAGGAGCTGCTCCTGCTCAGCCAGCTAAGTCCTCAAACAACACCCAACAAGCCAAAGCAGCAAGAAGAATCTGCCTAATGAGGATCCTCCAGCACAGAGCTGGTTGCAAGGCCTCATACCAAAACAAGATAATGAGTCTCAGCTGCCTCTCAGCCCTTCACCTTCCACACAGCAAGACATCAAATGCATCCTCTTTGCTGAGCAGAGTGTGCACAGGACAACCCACTCCTGTATGAGGCTGCTCGAAAAAATCAATGGATGTATTCTCTGAAGGCAAGTGAACAGGAAAGATGTTGTCCTTTGGAATATGGAGCTGTCAGGAGGGATTGTCAGCTGCACCTTCACATCCCTGGCCCAGCACACAAAACCTTCCTGCTCAGAGTTTGTCTGTAGTCTCAGTGATCTACAACATGGGAAAGACCCAAGAGTGGGAAATTACACCACAAAACACAGTGAGAGGTAAGAGAGAATTTCCACTCCCCTCAGTTAGACTCTTGGGGCATTCCCAGGGCTTGGAATGTGGGAAAAGAAGAATCAGTGCTGTACAGTTAAGCACCAAGAGACTTTTTAATTCTCATTTCTGCCAAGGAAAGTTGGGCCCCAACACTGACACAAATTAAAAGCCAACCTAAAGGTTAGAAGGAACTTTCCCCACACAACCTAAGAACAGACCAAACCTTCACTGCCCTCCGAGGGGAACAGATCTCACTCCACAGCAATATCCAAGATGGAACTTTTCCTTTAAGATGTTTTCTGTGAACTCTTTTTTCCCTTTGCCCAAAATGCTGCCTCATTCCCTCCCTCTGCAGCCAGCAAAATATTTCTCTTGAGAGAGAAAAGGGGTGGGAGGTGAGAAGGGACACCTCCCACAGAGGAATTTTGTTTCCAGCTGGGATATCAAAACGGGAACATGCTGTATTTTCTACCCCTTAAGTGTAACACACAGAGTTTCAGGCCATGCAGTTCTGTTGGTGGCATCAGCAGTTCCTCAGAGCAGACAAGATAAAACCATTGCTGGTGGTGGTGGTCACTCACCCTCATCACTGGAGGTCTCCTGTTTGACCACAGACAGTGGGGAACGTGTCGGGGGTTTGCCCAGGGGATGACGACGACTCTTCTTGATCTCCATCTTCATTTTGGAGAAAGCAGCAGCAGTCTGGAAGGAAGCAGAACAATCTGGATGGGCACCCCAAAGGAGGGAACAGGACAAGAGAAGCAAAACCCTTATCATAAAGTCCTAGGATTCATTCACACAGTAAACTTTTCACTGCCTTTTGGCTGAATCACTAAACCTTCCGAGCCAATTGCTGTAGCAGATAAAAGCCAAAACTAACTCTTAAGACCACTGCCTTTTGGCTGAATCACTAAACTTTCTGAGCCAATTGCTGTAGTAGATAAAAGCCAAAACTAACTCTTAAGAGTTGAGTAAACTACAGAGTTTTCTTCAAATCAGAACAGGCTCAGAACAGCTGCAAGCTGAAAAATCCATGAAAAAGTCTGGTCAGTCACATACACAGCTGGAAACTCCACACAAATTACGTATCATGGAATCTCAGACTGGTTTGGGTTGGAGGGACCTGAAAGTTCATCCCATCCCACCCCCTGCCATGGGCAGAGACACCTCCCACCAGCCCAGGATGCTCCAAGCCCCATCCAACCTGGCCTGGAACACTCCCAGGGATGGAGCAGCCACAGCTGCTCTGGGCAACCTGTGCCAGTGCCTCAGCACCTCCCAGGGAGGAATTCCTTCCCGTTATCCTACTTAGCCCTGCCCTCTGGCAGTGGGAAGCCATTCCCTGTGTCCTGTCCCTCCAGGCCCTTGTCCAAGTCCCTCTGCAGTTCCCTTGGCCCCTTGAGGCACTGGAAAGGGCTCTAAGATCTCCCTGGAGCCTTCTCTTCTCCAGCCTGGCCTAGAACACTTCTAGGGATGGGGCAACAACTGTGGACTCCTCTCATTCCAACTTTGGTCCTCAACTTGTTACTTAAAACTAGCAAATCTTATAGTCCTTCATCCTGGAAACCTGTAAATCACCAACCTCAGTAGTGACCTCAGCATTTTCTGCCTCTACATTCTCCTCCTCCTTGACAGGGATTTCCACAGGGACCGTTTGCTCCCTCCAGCCAGGACTTTTCTGTGTGGCAAACTGCTCGAAGGCCTGCTGGCAGGACATGTGCTCCTTGTCAAACACCACCTTCTTGCTCCTGGGCACCACATACAGCATGGGGATGATGGGCCGAGGCTTGAAGTCATCCTCCTCCACCGGCGCCTCCAAGGGCTGCACGATGTTCAGAGGGGCTGGGGGTAAGCTCTTCTCTGCTGAGGCTGATGCTGGGGGGACTGGTGGCACTGGTGGCCGAGCTGCTGGTGCCTCACCCCCTGCCAACTGCTGCTGTTGAGCTGCAGGGGGTGGCACTGGTGGCTGCTGCTGCTGCAGAGAGGGCTGAGCTGCTTGGAGGTGGTGCTGGTGTTGGTGGAAGAGATGTTTCTTCTTCCTCTCACCTTTCACCTTTGGAGGACGAGCCTTGACTTTGCTCTCACCTGTGCCAAGAGAACAGACAACATTGAGCTCTTCTGGCAAGATTTTGGGGCGTTTCATCTTTTTCTCCTTTCAACAAAGAGCTCCAGTTCCATCTAACATGGAACTGGAACATCTAACAAACATTAAACTGCAAGTCTAACACGGAACGTTCCATCCAACATGGAATGTGGCCAACACATTCCATCCAACATGATACTGGAACAACTAATATGGAACTGCAGCATCTAGAATGGAACTGCCACAACTAACATGGAACGTGGCCAACACGTTCCATCCAACGTGAAACTGGAACAACTAACATGGAACGTGGCCAACGCGTTCCAACCAACCTAGAACGTGGCTAACGCGTTCCAACCAACCTGGAACGTGGCTAACACATTCCCTCATGGCATTACTCCTTTCACACCCACTGCAAGCTGCAGACACTCAGCTGTGCCTCAGCACTGCCCTGGAGAAGCTCATGTAAGAAAGAAAAGACTTGTGTCATTTCCATGGGCTGTTAAATTCCTGACTGGAGCAGAGAGACTGCCAGAATGAATGTTGCCTGAGGGGAAAATATCTAAATCCCTAAGAAACTGGACAGTGTGCCAAAAAAATATGTAATATATTGCATTAGTCCTGAGTCTGTGTTTTGAGTCTTTTTGTATCAGAGGCACAAAACCAGCCACTGAAGTGCAGGAAGGATTTTTGTACCACTAATAAAGACAAAAAAAATACATATTTAAAAGTGTTTGTTTTATCTTATCAGGAGGTGTGTTCAACACCTTTTTGTTGGTAAGGGGGTGCAGCCAAAAGAATTTGGAGATCCTCATTCTGTTAGCAGTAGTTGCTCTAACCCCTGGAGCATCTCATTTGCTGCTCCCTCTGTATTGCTCTTCTCTGGGTATTACTGTGTGTCAACACATCCAACAGCCCCAGGAAATGAGGAGCTGAATAAAGATACCTGAATCATTATTACCCAAAGATTTCTGTTCCAAAGAGATGCCTTTAAAGCCTAAATCAGGTACAGCACTGAGCTAAGCCTATTAGAGACATCACACCAGCACTGGATACTGAGATATCCTTTCCTCACTGTCCTTGTTTCCCCCAGCTCACTGTCACTCAGCTTATCTGCACAGCACTGCAGAGCTCTCACTTGGCTGTGACAACACCTCTTGAACAGATAAACATCTCAATATTGTCACCAGAGGCAGCACTGACCCATAAAAGTCTCTCCCTGATGTTAAGTCTGTTAAGGGATCCAAACACTCCCATTTTACAGCAGTAATTAAAATTCCTCCTGGCCACCAAGGGAGTGTCTAGGTTAGGACAGGAACTGCCTCCCCAGCTTGCCTTACTCTCTCTAAAATGATGCAGACAGTGTCTTTGCCCAGCTCCTCCTTCCCTCCCTGAAGTTATCAGCTCACCCAAAGGCAGGTAAATAATAGATGCTCACAGGCAGATGCCAAGGCTCAATTTATTCCAGGAGAGATTGTTTTTCCCTGCAGATGCTGTGACTGGATGACTCTGCTGCAAAAGGTCATTTCCCATTAACAGGCTGATGACAACCAGAGACAAACTGCTCAGCCCAAGAGTGATGTTTGACCAGCTCCAGCTCAGCCAGACCTCTCCATTACAGGCTCCACCAAACCTGACCAGCCCAGCCCAGGAAAGGGAACAACTCCCAGGCAACCAGCAGCAGGACAAGAGGGCACAGACTCAAGCTCTGCCAGGGGAGGGTTAGGTTGGATCTTAGGAAGAGATTTTTTACAGAGTGCTCAGGCATTGGAATGTGCTGCCCAGGGAGGTGGTGGATTCACCATCCCTGGAGGTTTTCAAGCTGAGACTGGATGTGGCACTTAGTGCCATGGTCTAGTAACCATGGTAGGGTTGGACTTTATGATTTTTGAGCTCTTTTCCAACCTGGTTGATTCTAGGATTCTATGACCAGACAAACCATCACCCCCAAAAATGAGGTGTCTGCAGGAAGAAGGGCTTGAAAAGAAAAGATAAAGTGCCAAAATCCCTTCTGAAACCTTCCAGGGAATACCTCAGTCTCAGCATTTCCCTGAAGTCTGCTCTGATGACTTTATTTACACCAACTTATCAAAATGGGAACAAATCCAGCCCAAATAATTATTGTTGTACTTGTGTAGGCAGTGCCTCAGATAAACTGGTTTGTTCTATCGCACAGAAAGGAATACTGAATTTCCTTAGAGAAACAAACACACTGAATGAAAGGCAAATTGGATTTCTCCCCAGTTGCACAAAACCAGATCATATTTACTCTCTATACACTTGGAGAATTCTCTCCCCAACACCACCACAAATGCCATTCACCAGCTTTATTGACTTCTGAAGGGTAATTTGGCAGCAGCTGCCACGTAGAACTGTGCTGCAAAGTCTTTGCAGTAAGATGAACAAATGAGTTTGCAAGTGAATCTACAGAATCAGAAGCCAGGAAAAAGGGAGGTGAAATTCCAAGTGCCTGTCAGGCTACCCTGAAACTTCTAGGAAGGAAAGGGATCCTCAGGTAGGTTAAGAGAGAAAGGTCTTTCCCTCCCACTGCAGAAGAATTGCACCTGTAGCAGAGTTAGGACATGTGGAAAATGTGTGTGACAATGATATGTCATGGAGAGAAAACCTGTTTGTCCAGGGATAATGTGGAATACTGGACAAACTGTCAAGCTGAGGAGCAGCTGAGGGAGCTCAGCCTGGAGAAAAGGAGGTTCAAGGGAACCTTCTCAGCCTCTACAACTCCCTGACAGTAGGTTGGAGTCAGGTGGGCTCAGGGAACAACAGGACAAGAGCAAATGCCTCAAGTTGTGCCAGAGGAGGTTCAAGAGGCAGTGGGGACAAATTGAAGGAGGGGAAATTTAGACTAGATGTTAGGAAGAAGTTTTTTCCCTGTGAGGGTGGTGAGACACTGGCAAAGGTTGCCCAGGGAGGCTGTGGCTGCCCCAACCCTGGTAATGTTCATTCCAGGTTGGATAAAACCTTGAGCAACCTGCTCTGGTGGGAGGTGTCCCTGCCCAGGGCAGGGGTTGGGGCTGGATGATCTCTAAGCTCCATTCTAACCCCTAAATTCTATGATTCTATAACTAGAAATGGACTTCAGCACAGATATGTGATTTGCAGCCCAAGGTATAACACCACAGGTAACTCCTGCTGACTCACAGGAGCTATTTCTGCTGCTCAGCACATCCAGAGCAGAGCAAAGCCTAAACACTCTCCTTCCTCATTTCAAGTCCCAGGACAATCTGCTAAAAATTCTAAATATATTAAAAGCAAGATAATAAATTATGAATATAAAGCTGAGTCATAAAAACCCAAAGAAAAAAAAACCAACACCATAAGGGATCTGGGTCAGAAATCCTGAAAACCTCAAGTTATAAATACTCAGCTTGTCCAAATAACCACCACAAAACACAAGACCTATTTTCAAAGTGTGATTACTTTGAAATCTCATCCTTCCTCCTTCTCAAGGTCATCTTTTCTGGTGTAAGTAGAAAGAAATCAAGCCAAATTAAAACCAGGGGAGTAGAGAAAGGAAGTGAAGGAGGTGGGGAGGGAGCTAAATTGCCACGGGCAGGGCCATCAACAGATGCTGTTTGCTTTGTCAAGAAGAAACCCTAAACTTGTGAGAGGCAATGCAGACAGCAGGATGCAAAAAACCAGGGAAGTCATTGGGATTTAATTGCTATATTGCAGTGAGAGAGCTGAGGCTTTGCTCCAGCCACACCAAGCAAGTTTGTTCCAGTGCCACTTGCTGCAATGGGGCTGAAAATCAGCTTTTCCCTCCTGAGCCACCAGTTAAAGAGCTCTTAAGATGTAGTGGAAGTGTATGATTTGGAAACTATTCAGCTAGAACAGAGTTTTTATTGTTCCTTGGCCATTCTAATGATCTCAGATCTGTCCTTGTCACTTATCCCTTGTCTCTGAAGAAAAATCAGCATTTTCAGGCCATTTATTACAAGCATCAACTGTTAAACTTGTACAAGAGCTAAGAGCACACAATTTAACACACTGCTGATGCTTTCAAGCTCAGGGCAAGAGAAATTAAGTATCTCCTCTGTTCAACAATGACTCTCCAGCTCTTTATTCCTCAGGAAAAAGAGGAAACACACTGTCTAGCTAAGAGACTTTGGAAGTGAACAAAGCCCTCAATTCTTTTCCCAGAACTTCCCCAAATTTCCTTTAAGATCATTATTAAGGAACTCTAAACAATTTGCAGCATCAGTTTCTCCAAATGCTAAACAAAGACTGGATAGATACAACAGCTGAAAATTAATTCCCTGGTGTTTATGCAGTGCTGTAAAAACCTCAAAGTATCACAGGGACAGCAACTACTTCACCACACACGTTAAGGGAAGAAAAACAGCTTTTTCTCCAGCAAGAATTGCAATTTTTCCTACCCAGCCAAGAAAAAAAAAGGTGTCACAAAGAGCCTCCTGCACGATGGGGTGAGGTCAGGCCTTGGCCCTAACCAGGCACAGACAAAATCCCAAAGGACTGGGAGTTGTCATGGACTGGTTTTAATTCCAGCCATGCAAAGGAAGCTGAAAAAAAGCTGAAAAAGAGCTGAAGAAACCCAACTGGGACTCCTGCAGCTGCTGTGGATCCCTCCCAATCCTAAGGCTCACAGGATTCAGTGTCTGTGAGGAGTGGGAACAAAGGGAGGCAAAGAGGAAAGATGAATTGCACAAGAGAGTGCACAAATCTTTCCTTTTCAGAGCAGGACACAAAAATATATTTGTTTCTCTCTGAAATATTATCAAATATTCCTCATATAATATATATATATATATATTTTTACAAACCTGTAATAGTTTGGGCAGAATTTTCAAGCCCTGCCAAGAAAGCTATTTGGATTGAATCCCTCAAGAGAAGGGGAAGAAAAAAAAAAAATCAATGGCTGCTGTAAATGATGGTGTATTTTGGAGAGTATGGATTTAATATTGGGAGAGACTTCACTGATACTTCAGCAGAAATAAACAGCAGCAGACAAGTTATTTACAGAGAGTTTGCCCCAGTCCCTCACTGATGGGCCATCAGTGAGTAGAGCCCTCACCTTCTCCCTCCATCACTTTGCTTCTCTCCTCTTCCTCCAGCTCTGTCCCTCTTTTCAGCTCCTCTTTTACTTTCACATCTTCCAAGGCAGTTTCAATAGCCATGACATCCCCAAGAGACTTCTGATCCTCTGTTTTGTGTCTTCTGGGTTGACTCCTTTTTCTGTGAGACCTAGGAAGGACAGAAGTGTGATTGGACATGAAAGAACAGCCTTCAAGAGAGAAATCCATCAGTGACTTAAAAAGCTGAAGGCAAACCAAAAAGATCTTCTTGGGAGAGAAAACACAAGGTAGCTAAAATAGCTACAGGGCAAAACAAATCTGAAAGGGAACAGATGAACCTTGCAGAACACAACATTTAAGATCCATTCACAGCAGCTATTAATTGTCTGGGTTTCCTGAAGAGCTGCTCCCTCCACTGCTAATGGAAGCTCAGAAGCTGCAGTTAAAGTGATTTTAATTGTATTTTAAATCTGTTTTGCTTGTATTTCAAAATACACAGGAAAACTTGCTTAAATCTCTCTTTCATCCTCAGCCTCCATTCCATTATTTCTTTTCATGCCGTTCAGGCTTCCCTTTGGCAAACTGCTGGAAGTCTGCAGAGCATCATCTTCCAGCTCTGAGACATTACCCAGCTCTGCCAGCTCCTAAAAAACACACTGGAATGAGTGCCCACAGCAAAACCAATAGGTAGGCTCTGATTTTTCAGC